TTTTTTCTATAGGGCGTGTGTGCTCACCAGAAAGACAGAGAGAGACAGAGAGACAGAAAGCGAAAAATCACCCCCAGGGGGATGGCTATGCTGCAATCCCTTCTCCTCCATTCTCCTTTCGAGATCTTGGGCATGCATGCACACGCTCCCAGCGTAAGTTTAAGCCACTGGGTCCGCGGTTGACTATATGGGAGTCCAACGACATAGGCATTATGCCAACTGCAGGTCCCCTTGGTTACTTTTTGTTCTTTTATTTCCATATGTGCCTTTAGTTTTCCTGGTAAGGTACTCCTTTCAGAACTTCTTCAAGAGTGGGTCTGATATTGACAAATTCTTTCAGGTCTTGTTTATCTGAGAATGTTTTTATCCTTTCTTTCCACATGAAGGATAATCTTGCTGGGTATAGTATTCTTGGTTGAAATTGTTTTTCACTTAACATTTTGAATATCTTTTCCCATTCGTTCCTTGCTCGCATTCTATTTGATGAAAGGTCTGCTGTTAGCTGGATGGGAAAACCTTTATAAATTACCTGACATTTCTCTCTTGCCAATTTTAGTATCTTGTCTCTGTCTGTGGTTTTGGTCAATGTGGCTATGATGTGCCTTGGAGAAGATCTTCTTGGCTTGATTTTATTAAGGATCCCTTGTACTTCTTGGGTCTGGATATTTGAGTGCCTCTCTAGATTTGAAAAGTTCTCTTCCAGGTTTTATGGAATAGATTATCAATGCCCTTATTAGTTTCCTCATCTTCTGGGATACCGATTATCTGATGTTTGGGCACTTAATGGTATCCAGCATTTCTCGTATAGTATTCTCATTTTTTGGTGTTATTTTCTCAGAATTTTTGGTTGTTATTTCTAGGTTGAAAGTTTTGACTCCAAAATCAAATCCTTCAGGGAGAATTTGATTTCCTGTATTGTAGCCTTCATCTCTAACAGCTCCATTTGATTATTTTTTGTGATGTCTAGTTCCTCTTTCAGATCATGCAAGAACTTCCTCACCTACTCTAACTCATTGTCTCTTTTCTCCTGCATATGATTTCTCACTTTCTGTCTCTCTGTCTCTCTCTGTCTGTCTGGCGAGCGCACGCACCCTATAGCGAAAACCTCTCCAAAAAAAGAAAAAAAAGATTCGCTCTTCTGCATGGGCTAATCTGCTTTTAATACTTTTGAGGAAGGTTTTGATTTCCTGTATTGCAGCCTTCATGTCTAACAACTCCATTTGATTCTTTTTTATGGAGTATATTTCCTCTTTCAGATTGTGTAGGAACTCCCTCACCTCCTGGAACTCGTCTCTTTTCTCCTGCATCTTCTGGAGTTCATTGTCTCTCAGCTCTTGGATCGCATTTAGTGTTGTCACTATGAATATTCTGAATCCTCTGTCAGACATTTCTGCAAGTCCCACTGTGCTGTCTGTGGATGATGAAGGATTGCTCTTTTCCCTTAGGGGAGAGAGATTTTCTTGGTTTCTCATATTTCTTGTGCCACTGCCGTGGTTTCTGGTTACTCTGTGACAAAATCTCTCCTCTACTCTGCTTTGCAATGTGGTATCCACAGAAAGAGATTGTGAGTTCAGATTTATAAAAAGAGGTTTCTTCCTTAAAGCAGGAGGTTCAATAAGCGTTGAGGACTTCAATGACTCTAAAATATTCAGATGCTTGGCTACTGTGCACTATCTAGCTAGACACTCAGTGTGTGGAGAGTGAAGACCAGAGTGGGAAAGTAAGTTTTAAAAAAATGAAATCAAAAGGAAAAGAAAAATAAAAAAATAGACACAATCCACCAGAAAAGAGAGCAAAAAAAAAATTTAAAGGTAAAAAATGAAAACCATGCTGTGCGCACACACTAGGACACACCTCAGATTAGCAAGAGAAAAGGCCCGAAGTGAGAAGTGGTTTAAAAATTAAAAAAAAAAAAAAATTAGACAGTTCAAAACACAGACAGACAGAGGACAGAGGTTGCCCTATTGGTCTGAGTATTTCAGGGGTCTAGAAAATGGAGTTTAGAGCATAGCTTCCCTGAACATGCCAGGACAACCTCAGATTTAAAATGGCTTCTTGTCTGAGTTCCCACCAGAGAGATTTCTGAGGGCTTTGGGAGGTGGTCCCTACTTGTCACAGGGGGCCAACCGTGGCCATCCCTCCATAACTGGCCACCATGTCACCAGGAAGTACGTGCTGCCTGCTCCCTAGTGTCCTCAACCACAGTCACTGTGGCCTCTGCTGGCCCTCCTGTGCCCAGTCAGAAGAAAGGGAGTCACACAGAGGCTGCCCAGTTATTGTTACGGGAGCGGCTGGGTCCCAAGAGCTCAGACCCAGGCTCGGGCAGAGTCAGCTCTGACCAGGTGACAGACTCTGTCCTCGCGGTATCTGTGTTCTAGGGGGCAACATTTGCCCCTCTGCCGCATGGCTGAGGCGGTGGCCTTTGATGCCGCATCTGGCAGGCCGTAGTAGGTGACCCAGAAATGGCGGGCCGTCCTTCTCTGCATTGCCTGGGCCTGCCTGGAGCCCGAGGTGAAAGAGATTTACCTAAGACCTATTGGAAGCTCAGAGTGTGCCCGGGCCATGTCCCTGTGTGGGTGTGTGTGGGTTGGTGTGTGTGGGGGGTGTGGGGAGGTGTGGGTGTGGGGATGTGC